GCTTTGGAAGGCCACATGCTTCAGATCAGATGCTTTTTCAAACTTTCTAGTGGGCCAGTGTTGAAACTGGAACCAATAAGTGGTGAGCACAGGAAGCATGATGATGCTACTTCCCAAGAGGAACTTTGGGTATCACCTCTGTCACCTACAGCATTAACCTCAGAGCGTATTGCATTGACACTGAAGACACCCTAATTACTTTCTTCTTCTGTATGGTCTGGATCTGAAATGTGTCCCAAAGTCTCATTAGTTCACAGGTAAGGCCCCTGGCAGGTGACTGGGCTGTAAGGGTGCTATACTCCTTGGTGGAGTCATCCATTCATGAGTATAGCTGAATGTGCTGCTGGGCGATGGGGCCCACGGGGAGGTGGTCACTGAGAGCTGACCTACAAGGGTGTAATCTTTAGTCTCAGCTCCTTAGGTCTCTCTTGGCTTCCTGCCCGCTAAGAGATTAGCAGCTTTTCTTTACCCTGGCCTTCAGCCATCCATTTCTTCCCTGAGCCACAGACCATGGACTGAAATCCTATGGACTGAAATACTCAAGTCCTGGGCCACCTTAAACCACTTTGCTTTCCTGTTGTGGGTTTCCAGCACTTCATCCCAGGAAAGGGAAACTGACTACCACTGTATACCTATGTAGTGATATACACGGTAATCTCACGTTTTGTAAACAGAAAGTATTAAGAATTTGCTCTGATAAATTTTTGCTCAACCTAATGGCTTGTTTACATGATTATTTCCTTTGTTGAAAAATTCTAATATGCTCATTTGTCCACATAAAATGATGAATTTCTTATGTTATGTAATATACAATTAAATACCCTATTTAAATTCCTTTTATAATTCTCTAAATCATGAGATAGTAACTATTTTCTGTGTAAAAGTACAATTTTAAATTGATAAAACTATCAACACAAAGCCTGGTAACTGGCAAACAGGTAATGGACATTAATGAACTACCTATCTGGAAATGAAGAATAATTTGAGTGGTACGTACTTGACTTTTGGCACAAGAAATTGTGACATTTCAATGCGACAAAAGCTGAAATCTGTTGCTTCTAAGAATACATTTTCCAAAATTAGCCTTTCCATACACAAGGCAATCCTACCTCACCCTATTAAAAAAATCCAAATTTTTTTTTCTTTTTTTAGGATGATCCTCCCAAGAGATAATCTTAAATCTAAAGTTTTTTAGTATAGTTCCAAATGCTGCACTGTCAAAAGAATAAATTGAAATATACATTGATTTTTCCCTAAGAGATAATGTCACTACCTCTTTTTGTGATTCAGAGTCAAAGGAACAATATAATTTTAACCAAGGAAACAGGGAGATTTATAGTGATTCAAAAAACTGCATTTGTGAAGAACGAGGGCAAAGGTTTTTGTTTAAATAGATATATTGCTAATACCTTGTAAATTCAGCCTCAACATAATTCTAATTTTTCTAATCACTCAGGATTAAGAATAATTTGTGCATTGTATACCAGTTTGCATAATTACTCTAAGTGATGAGCAATGGCTGTTGTAGATTAAAAATGAAAATCTACTATTTCCAAAAACCTCAGGATTAAGAATAATTTGTGCATTGTATACCAGTTTGCATAATTACTCTAAGTGATGAGCAATGGCTGTTGTAGATTAAAAATGAAAATCTACTATTTCCAAAAACCTCAGCCATTGAATTGCATACCAAAAGACATGTTTGGTTTTTTTTTAGTTAAGCATGCTAAGTGTTTATAAATACAGTTATATGGCATTTATAAATTAAATATAACATCTTCCTTTGTAAGGAATCTAAAACTTTTATTTTACTGATATTTTTGAAAAGTTGATTATTAGGTATATCAATTGGCAATCTTGAGAAAAAAATACTGACAGCTAAATATCACAGACAACATTATCATGAAATACCTATGGAAAAATACTGATATGTGAATCTTGCCAGATCTAGAGATACCTGGCTAATATTTTTGCAATTGTTAACAAAATAATTATTAATTGAGAAGTTATTCTGACTGCAAATTCTTCCCTATTTTAATAATGTTAGACAAATTAAGTGAATTTTTTTGGCAGTAAAGTTCATTACCATAGAAATAACACATTTTAAAAAGGATATTAAATTTGGGGGAGAGGGCTAAAATGAAGCAGGAAAAATTTATAATAATCAACAAGACAAAAAGTAAGAGTCAATTTGGTTTGAAACCAAATTAATGTTCATCTCCAAGAGAATGTATAAATTATATCCATACATGGATTAGATTTCAAAACAAAACTACACAATAGCTTATTAATGCACTTGAATATGAACCTAAAACTTTGTTTAGGGTTAAAAACTATCAAATTTCAGATGCTACATTTTTCTGTATGAGGGAAAGTAATGGAATCATAAGCAATCTGGATCACTTTGGCTGCAGTCATATGAATATGTCTAAAACAATTATAGCTACATGTTGAATTGTTCTTTATAGTGCTGGGGATCGAGCCCTTATGTGATTCACTTCTGAGCTACATCCCCAGCCCTGTATTATTTTATCTTGAGATAAAAGTTAAGTTTTATCTCTAAGTTGCCCACAATGGCCTCACATTTATGAACCATCAACCTCACCCTTACAGTACTGGACATTACAGACAGGCACCAGCTCATTATAAGTTACAATTTGAAAGACTGGATGGGGTATGCCTTCTTCTGTTTTATACTGTGATAACAGACCTGAGACTGGGTTATTTAGAATGAACTGAAATCGATTTCTCAGAGTTCTGGAAGCTAAGAAATCTCAGATTGAGAGGTTGCATCTGGTGAGCACCTTCTGACTCTGCCACCTTACAGTAGGAAGCCAGGTATAGTGGAAGGGCAAGAGAAGTTAAGAGAGCCAGCCAGAGGGGCCAAACATCCTTTTTTATACCAAATGCAGCCCAAAGTAGCAAAAGCAGTCTACAGGATAATAATTACATTAACCCATTCACAAGCTACTGTCCACAACATCTACCACTTGCATGAGGCCTTCCCTCTAGGTATTGGCCAGTTTTCCCCTGCTGGGACAAAACACTTGACACCCATGCTTTAAAGGAGAGATTTAATTTGGCTCATAAATTCAGAGGAGTCAGTCCATAGCCACTTGGCTCAAGGCAGGAATATAATGGGGAAGAGTGTGACAGGGCAAGGTCAAGTTCATGGCACCTAGGAAGCAGAGTAGTGAAAGAATACAAGAGCAAAAGGGCCAGAGACCAGACACAGAACCCAAGGTCATGCCTCCATGATCCACCCAGACACACCTGGAAGTGTGCCCTACTAATCTCTCAAGCCAATCAAGCTGACAATCAAGATTAACTGTCACACTTCCTAAGCACTGTCTTGAGGATCAAGACCCCAATTGATGGAACTTTAAGAGACACAGTCAAACTGCAGTAGGATGTCTAAACTGTTCACTATGTTCTTGACCTATTACCTAAACTGACAGTTGTGTTTTAAGTAATTGGCTTTAAAGACTATGACAGAATAAGCATAAACAAACAATGGCAATGGGAAGGAGTATCTAAACTGTATTGAAATGTTGGAGGAGCCAAGTTTTGCAAATAATAACCAAAAACAAAAACCTAAATTTTTCAATTTAATACTTGCAATGCATAACATTTATATTCACATTCTTAAAGGTATCCCAGAAATTATTTGTTGTGAAATACAGAAATTCACAATGCCACAATTATGAAGACAGAGTAATACTCTGCTTACGAGAAATGACACTGAAAATTCAGTGGAATTTTTTGCTGAGCGGGTTAATAATTTTACTCCTATGCTTACTCATGAAATAAGTTTATCAAAAACACAACATTTGAATGAAGACATCATTGTTGGGAAAACATCAGTCTTCATCAATTGATTTGTTTATGCAAGTTGTTTAGAAACACCACTCTTTCCCGAGCTAATGAACACCTCCTCTGCAGACCCTTGTTCCTGGTCCACACTGCTTAAATCACACCTGGCCTCCCGCACATTCCAAGCCTCCCAGGTGCCACTCCTCCTGCCTGAACTGCTGCCCTCAGGGGACGTGGCTCTTCCAAGGCTCTCAGCCTTTGCGGACTACACTACCTCACGAGGACTCGTTGTTTCCTTCTGCTGCCTGTCGCTGCCACAGATGGGAACCATCATAGCAAGCAACAGCCCGCCTGTGTAACTCATCAAGGGATTAAGAGGGCTCAATAAAGACTAATGAAATGAGCCAGTTAACGATGTTATTCTTTATACTCTTAAAACAAGCTTATTGTCTGAAAACACATACATTCTAATATATTTGATACTTGAAACATTTAACTTATCTCACAAGTAATTACAAAAATGGTGAAACTCATTTTTTTAAAATTAGTAATATTCCTGTTCTTAACTACATTTTTTCGTAAGATTCACAGGTGTAACAGTAACCTAATCAGGGCGCAGTGCTTAGAACAGTGCCCAGAATGTAAGAATCAGGATAGAAAAGTTTGGCAAAGATCTTCAGGTATGAGCTCTTGTTCCCTTACCTACTAGCTAAGCTTCTTCCTCTCATGGTTTTTAAAGGGAAAAAAATTGAATTCAGTGTGTATTCAAGTATGTAAGATACATAATTATGAAAGCCTGAAATTCTAGAATGCCGACATTGAAAAAGTAACATCAGTCTATGATTATTATATTTAGTAATAGGTTATTATTTATTTATGCAAAAAGTTCTACCACAGGGCAGCCCCTATCTGCAGATATATAAGATTGAATAGAAGAAAAAAAACTGAATTGACTAAGGCGAGGAGAGCTTGTATCATGTACATATTGACTGCTCTTATTTTCTTTGAAAACACAGTAGACCCATTTTTGGTAGATTTAGCAAAGGTCTGTATTTGCAGATACATTTATTAACACCTTGTCATGGTTTATGTCTGTGTCCCCCAGGCCTCAGGAGTCTGCTTTGTGCATTTGTGATGGGTTCATTGTCTAGTGCTTGGATTGACGGTGTCAGTGCTACACCCACAAAGGGGTGGAGCCAGGATGTGATGTAATGGCAGGAAGAAGGTGTGTCTTGCTCTCTTGCCGGTTTCTGCCTTACTGTTTGCAGCCGCCATGAGCTGCGGCCCTGCCATGCCACCCTGCCTTGGAGCCAAGAATGGACTGAAACTTCCAAAAATGGTAAGAAATAAACCTTTCCTTTCCCAACTTTGGGCTTCAGATATTTTGTCTTAGCAACGAGTAAAAAGTAACTAAGACATACCTGTATCTCAAATTTGAGAAGGGCTAGTAAAAATCCACAGGCTGATTTTTAAATGTTCCCAAAAGGCTGACCAAAAGTGATAAATCACATGTGTATCAAGCACATGTTTGATACATGAGGACCTCTTGCTTAGAAAGTTAATTTTTTTTACTATAGATAATGTCAATGTCATTAATATAATTAAGGATATTTTTATCTTTTTCATTTTTATTAAGGATGTCTTAGGACTTTTGTGTTAAGATACTTTTTAAATGTTGACCTAGTTAAATTCATTACAGCCTATCAAAACTGAATAATCATTGGAACTAAGACTTACATATGGTTCTCTTTTTCAACTTAGATATTTTATAGTTTCATATAACATTTTAATAAAAATTTACATCTATAACTTTTTTTAAAAAAGCAATAACATGACTCCTGCCCCTTACAAAAGTCATGATCCAGAGGAAAGCATATAAAAATAGCTAATAAAAGCTAGCGTGGTGGATTAACTAATGGTCAGCTTGTAACACCCAGCTGAACTGAATCTGCATAGTGCTAGGTGTGGGAGGCCCACCTGAGGGTTGTTGCTAATACCATAAAAGGAGACTTGGAGGGGAAGGTGGCACACTGTTGCTGGAGAAGCCTGTTGTGCTTACATTCCTGATAGGAGCTCAGCTGTGCTCACTGTTGGAGGAGGTTAGGTCCTCACTGTCACTGAGGTTGGCTACAGTTCTCTTTGGGGAAGCTCCAGCCCTTACCCTGAGTGTCACTTCCTGGCTCCAGTGCAGATCCCTCAGCTGCTGGCACGGATCCTTCATGCCACTGGCACAGGCTTTCTAGTTTCCACCACTGATGGTGGGCCTTCCTAGTCTAAATCCCTGAAACAGACTTTCATGAGACACTGTTACGGGTTCCAGGCTTTGAGCTGGACTTGCAGAGGACATTGCCATGGACTGTGAGTCTTCAGCTGGACTCGTGTAGGACGTGCCATGGGACCTAGGCCCCCAGCTGGATTCTTTGGGCTTCCATATATGGACAGATAATCCTGCATTTGTTTGCATCTGACGCTTTGGGTAACTATTATAAAACAATCCTGTAAATTACATGCCCTACATTATTTCCCTCCCAAACCCTGACTACATCAGTTAGGCAGTAGTAATTGCTATAGTAAAAGTATGAAAAAACTAGTCATAAACATTAGAGAAATGAAGTTTAGTGAGCAAATCAAAGTGTTTCTGTGCCACAGTAGAAGCTGAACTCTCCTGGAAGACACAAGGCTTCTGTGAGGGAATGTGCTGTCATTTTGGTTTTCCAGAATCTGAACATCCTTCCTATTTAGGGGTGGCTTTTCCTTCACCCCCACCCCCAAACAGACTTAGGCTTCCTATGGGCGCTCTCTGTGGCATGGCAGTGTACCCTCCTGGCCCACCCTGTGTGAGCCAGCCTCAGGAGAGAGTAAAGCTGTGGTGGTTGCAAAGTCAACTCAGCTTCCTTGCTTGGCTCCTTTTAGACTTTGGCCACTGTGGTCCAGCTACTTTGTCTCTTCTTGGTTGTCTAAGACGAATTTTCTGGCTTCCTGTGATTTTTTGTGGCTATATTTTGTATTTCCAAATAATTTTCCTTTTGGTCCTGTCTGTCATAGTTCGATGTTGGGTATTTTCAAGCAAGGATTCTACAAATTCAACTTTCAAAGTTCATTTTGCCAGGAAGGGCATTTCTGGGCTTCTCCTGTTCAATCTAAGCAAAGATAAAGAAGAAGATCCTGTAAGTGGGACTTCCTTGTCAAGTCAGCGCAGCCAACGAGTGGACAGAAACCACTGCCCAGACCAGCTTTCTTGGTCCATGGCAACCCTAGGTTCACAGGATCCCTAGGCGAAGTGAACTATCAACCAGTTCCTTCCTTAAGTCTCCCATTGGGAGGGCAAGGGAGCATCAGTTCCCATGCTGCAGGTTCTGCTGTGGCTCTCCTAAAAGTTCCCACCCACTCCCCAAAGTTCCCCAGGGGTCTCCAAGTCTCAAAGCAGTAGAACCACAAATCTAAAAGGTTGTGACTATCTTACTGGGGTTTTTTTTTTTTGTTTTAAATATTTCTTGTTTCACACTTAAAATATTCCTGCAGTTGGGTAATTTGACTTGCGGTATGTAAATAGCTAAAGTAGAGATTTGAACCTAAGCCTTTATTTCCCTAAACTCAACTGACCACAGCAATGAGACTTTGTCTTACAGAACCATAGTGCAATAAAAACTGAGGATATTCTGATGTTTTAAAAATGTGCAGGTAGGGACTGGGGATTTAGCTCAGTGGTGTAAGCGTCTATCCCCAGTACCAAATAAACAAAATAAAAACAAAAAAATGTACAAATTTAATTGTCAAGGTAAGGGCATTGTGCATTCCATGAGCATTAGCAAATTTCTGAAAGTGGTCTATTGTTTTAAAAGAGTCCTAGATTGTGGGTTCATTAAACATAAGGACCATTTCTGTCTGTATCATTACTTACAATGTAGAATTTATCCCTTGATAATCACTACGTGCTTATGTATTTCTATTTGTATTGAAAATTGGAATGTAAAAGTGATATGCTATGGTAGAAATAATTAAGAGGTCTTGCTACTGAGAATTTTCATCTTCTTGAATTCTGCCTCTTGATTCATTTAGTCATTCTTTATTTATTCATTAACATGATAGGCATTTATACACTTCTCAAAATGCTTCGCATTACTGAGAAGGCTGAATGCAATGCCTCAGACCTAGAAGCCTTGTTCTCCCTGGTTTGGTGCCACACCCCTAATTCAAGTGGTTCAAGAGGTGACAGCCCCCGCAGGTGATTTAGAAGTGTGAGGCAAGACTGGACAACTTCGTGTGGCCTCTGTCAAAACAAACACAAAACAAAGCTGCAGTTGTGGTTCAGTGGAAAGGCTTGGGTTCAGTCCTGAGGACCACATGCCCACAATGTGTGTGCACATGCGCGCACACACACACACGCACACACCTTTCTCCAGGTCAGTGTTTTGACCTACGGCATCAGCTGTATCACTTCTTTCCTTGATTTTAAGACAACAAAAAACAAAGACAGTTTAATTAAACATTAAGAAGGTGCTGAACAATATAAAAGACACAGACATCCTACTGTTATAGTATAAATGTATTTCTGTCCTGAATTCTGAAAAATACAGATATATTTTTAAGATAATTAAAATCAGAATCTTTTAGTCGCTTATGAAAAATAATAGTTTTAAGTGTTAGATGGCTGCTCCAGACAGGTGATGCCATTATTTTCAGCCACACTATGGTTTTGTCTGGGTGCCTCATTAACATTGTTATGACTGTAAGTAAAGCTGTTATTAGATCTATCGTAGGTGGCGATTATGTATTATTAATATTTGGCCAAATTCCTTCATTCACTACACTGAATCATGAAGAGGGCTGCACAATGTCATGGAGCCGGAAGTTTCTGCTGCAAGCTGAGGTGGCTGCACTGCGCCACTGTGAAACTGGGTCCTGCTGCTCATCTCAAGCTGCTCCCTGTTCACTTCTTCACCCCACCTCCTCCTTCAGCCTCTCTGTGGTGCTTATAATCATAGGCTGAATATCCACCTCTCTGTGACCACAGCACAGGCACACTCAAAACTGTGCCCTGCACCTGCAGTCATACGAGGCTCCCAATGTGCCTCCCAAGCAAACCCCACATTTTCTCTCTACACCCCTTGACTCTTCTTAATTGTCCTTATCCTGGGCTGATTTTCAAAGCTATCTGCCTAGGAGTCCAGGGACATTAGCATGCAGCCCGCCTCCTGTGCTCGCTGCCACCAGGAACCTCTGGTCTCCAGTGCACAAGCTGCCTGCCTCACCAACCCCTACTGCTGCGCTCTCTGCAGATACTCAGTCCTCGTGCCCAGGCCACTATGGCTGCCCAGTGGCACTGAGTCTAACTCACTTCTCCACTTGTTTCCATGACCGGGACATGACTGTAATTGATCCTTTCACTCGTCTGGGTGCAGGTAAAATGCATCAGCTCCAAACATGATTCTTTCAGAGCCCAGTTAGCCACCCACCCTCCTCTCAGGTCAGCACTCAGCTCAGAACCTGGGCTGCACAGCTGGCCACTGACCACTTGGCATGCGGCTACTGGCAGTGTTTCCTTCGTATACAGTTTACAAAGATAAAAGACAAAAATAATATAAATTCCTCATTTTAATTCATTTCTTTTCATCCAAGAAAAATCTTTCCAGTGCTTATAAATTAGTATAGTAGCAAAATTACATATTTACATTATTATGTTTGTTAGTACAATCAACCAATGAATAGATAAAGATGTGGTTTTTATACAATGCAATACTGCTCAGCCATAAAGGATGAACTTGAGACATTTACAGCTAAGTGGATGACCTTGAGAACACACTCAAGTGAAATAAATTGGATGTGCATTGTATATATATTGCATTGTCTCTCTGATGTGAGAAACTGAAAGAGTAAATAACCAAAATTTATAGTAGATATTTTGAAATAGGAAGAAATTGTGCAAAAGGAAAGGAGAAAGGAAGGAAAAAGAAAAAAATGAGAAAAGGATAAACTATAAAATCACATTTTTGTTTAATATTACATTATAAGTATGTAATTTCTCCAACTAATACTAAATTATTACATTAATGATCCATCAAATTTTTGAAGAACTACTTTGCAAATAAATTAAGATTTCCAAATCTGGAGCCAGACTGGGTTAAATTTTCTGTGCTTAAATTTATTAAACTGGTAACTCAGCCCCTGCTCTGGGCTCAATCTTTCTGCCGTTCAGCAAGGGCAGTGAAAACACAGTAGGTCACACAGCTTTGCAATACAGAGCGCCTGGAATCTGGCACCAGGGTAAATGCTCAGTAAGCATGAAGTGAAGAGATCACAATCTAGCATGCTTTCTTTATGTAGCCACAGCTACTACTGAAAACGTGGAGCTTTGTACCTTTTAAAGTGTGTTTTACTGTTGTACAGAAAAATGCTGCGATAAGCAGTGAGCCTCTCTTCTGTTGAATCATTTGCCCTGTGATGGTCTCAAGAATGCCGTTAATCAGGCCCAAGCACACAGATGCTCTTTTTAAATAACTACTGCAATAATTTAAAAACAGTATTAAGAGATCAATTTTATCACCATATTTTTGACACTTAATCACTATCACCCTTACATAGTTCCTTTTCTTCCAAGATGTTCTTGCTACTTTTCCTCTAATCAGTCATTAAAGACATTTTTTGCCCACTTCCTCTTTCCTGATGAAACTGGCCTCTCCTAGCTCTTATGCCATTTCTGTTTCCCTGTGTACTCTCCTTTCACATTAAAATCACATGACTTTCACATCATTCCTTTCTGATAACATCCAAAACAAGATGGTTGTCCGGTATGTCTTTTGAGACCTGAATGGGAATAATATAACTTATTTCTGAACACAAACTTTCCATCTTAACCTTGGATATCACTGCAGTCATACTTGATTTCACAGGTGCTGACTCAGTTTCCCAGGATCACAACCAAATGGTCACATTTATCTTTCACTTCCATATATCCTGTCAGCTACTAAACTCCGTCAAGTCCTTATCATCTCCTAGCAGGAAATCTTACAATCTAATTTCAATATAATCAGGTTCATTTAATAACTTCATGATAACTGTAAGGTCAAACATCAAGCAATAAATTCATATAGACCTGACACTACTATCCCAAATAAAGAGGCCCTTGAAGAAAACACAGAGCCATGAAAAGAATTCCACAGAACGTGAGATAAATTAATTCTACTTTGCAATCATGTCAATGAGTTACCAGAATATATTTATGTAGACATGCACTGATCCGTGGTTTGAATATAGTTTGTCTATTCTAAAATTCATATTCATGTTAGAGGTTAATCCTTACTGCCAAGCAGTCAAGTATTCAGAACATAGATACAAACTTCCCCGCCACAGAGGTGGGGCCTTTGGGAAGTGAGCTGCATGGGCTAAGAACCTCAGAATGGTACCCACATCACTACGACCACAAAAAGAAGAGGCAGAGAGACCACACACACACATCAACTACATGAGATGCCCTGTGCTATCTAGACATCTAGACACTTTTCTATCACCAGATGCAGTCCCAAATCTAGATCAGAATGTGAGCCAAAATCTTTCTTTTATAATTCACTCAGTCTGTGGTTCTGTGGTACTGCACTGGCTATGGGAAATACACTAACTAAATAGACACTGCCTTCTTTATAGAGTTTAAGAAACTCATCATTTGACTGCTATGATAGACAATTCTATGATGTACCCCTTCACTCTGAAGATTCCTTTCTAGTATGCACACTTGTTCAATTCTCCTTCCTTAAATGTGACTGGAAATTAAATATAATGGCAGCTCACTCCCTGACTAGGGTGCTAAAGGGTTGACTTCTGAGCAAATCAAAAGAGATGCTATTCAGTCAAGTTCTGTCATGTAAGGTGAGCCCTTCAATGGCCCGGAACTTTCCTCCAGGTCGAGGCCTGAAGCAGGAGGTGGACTTCACGTGAGGAGCATTTTTTACAGCTGGCTCTGCAGATGGAGGGAAGTCTGAAGCAAGGCTGAAGCTCATCTGTGAACACCCTGAGTGATTGCAGGTAAGACCTATACCTAGATTTCAGTTCTGTAAGTCCCTAACCAGTGAAGCCCACTGCGCCATATCGAACTCCAGATACACAAAACTGTGTGATACCAGGTATTGTTTTAAACTTGTATTTTGGTGACATTACACAGCAATATAATACTAATACCACTTCAGACTACAACCGATTCTTACTCCTAAATGGAGTCAATATTTTGATTAAGATTAAAAGTTTACAGATAAAATCATTTTTAAGATATGAATATGACTCCTTGTTTTGTGTATTTTAAATGACGTCTCTGTCAAAAATTTATCTACATTTCACTGACAGTGACAATGTTTTAATTAGGGAAATGTCTGCTCACTTTTTGAAGAATTAGAATAAATCATTATAATGATTTTGGCTACTGGATTTCATTTAGCAAAATTTCATGATAATAATGAAAGCTCTTAATCCAAAATTTTAGAAATAGAAAAATATAAACAATTCATTTAAATATCAAAGAAAAGAAGCATCAGGTCACAGCAGACATGAACTCAGCCAGTCTGTATGCGCTCTGTCAGCACATCTCTGGTCCCTGTAGGTTTGTTGATAAGGGGTTGTCAGCAGCTTTCTCAGGCTTTCCAAGGATACTCATTTTAACCAATTCCATGATAAAATTTCTCCCAATAAAACTCTTTTCAAAATCTTAGGTATTTTGCTTTTTATATGTGAAAATGCATTCATATTAATATGACACCCTCACAGGAAAAATTCTCATCAAATAAGTAAAACTAAAAGCACTATCTGTGGGCATCACAAAACAAAGGACACAGCAACACCTGTGATCTCACCTGCATCGAGGCTCGTTACTGTTACCACATTCTGTACAAATGTCTCAAATATGTTTTCAGGCTTGGAGTAAATGCCTTCACTTGCTGTGTGACAAAACTCATTTCATCAAGCGGATCAATTGCTCTTAGAAGAATCTTTTTTTTTTTTTCTTTTTTTATCTTTTTGAGACAAAGTTTTACTATGCTGAACTCACTTTGTAGCCCAGGCTGGCCTCAAACTCACTGCAGTCCTTCTGCCTCAGCCTCCCAATTTCTGGGATGACAGGCATATGCCACCATGCCCACCAAAGAATCATGTTTCTCTTGCCTATTTAAAGTATAAATTGATGCCAGTGCCCAGTGGTGGGGAACATATGGCATATGTGCCACAGCAGGCTGGCTGTTACCACTGAAACTTCTACAAGGTTCACCATCACTGTCACAGGCTTTTTAGAGTAGGCAGTGTAGCTAGAAAGCCAGCCTTTCTTTTTGCTCTAGCAAGTGTTGTGAGAAGTTTTAAATTTTTTTATAAATTTGCTCCCAATTCATACAACAGTGCCTGCTCTAAGAGGTCAGGAAAACTACAGTAGCAAGGAATCTCAGTAGTCGCAGAGCTGCTGTGCGGCAGCCAGGCGCCTGGGGACAGTTGTACCAACGGTGCCGCGCTGCCCTCAGTGGACCCCTGAGATGACTGGCTCTTCTCCTGGATGCTCAGTCTTCCCTCAGCCTTAACGGAGACATTGGACTCCCTATGGGCCCGGTTTGCTAGAGGATTTGTTTGGAGAAAAACAAATGGCAGGTATACTTTTTCTTCAACTTTTGGAATGAGGCATACTAGAAGAGAGTCAAGTTGGAAAGATTTTTTAAAATATTTATAGTTAACAAAAAATAAAGTTGTTCACTGTTTTTTTTCTTATTTAGCTATTACATGTATAATAACTGTATAGAATTAAAGATTTTGATAGCACTACTGTATGTTAATCATCTGAAACAGCATATAGTGTTCATGGAACTTCCATTTTAGTGCAGTAGATAAAAAATAATAAGTTAATAAATTAAGTATTCTATTACAAGATAATAAGTGATACAGAAAAAAATCCATGTAACAAAACTTTACATTATTGAAGTCAGAATACAGCATTAAATAAGATGATCAGAGTGGAACTCATTGAAAAAAGTCTAAATAATTCTAAAGACATAAATTTCCTATTTTTCATAGTAAAACAAAAGAACAGCCTTGTTCTCATCCTTCTTTGCCTTAACAAACATAAGCAGAAAGGTGCACATTAACGTTTAAAGTTCTTTCTCAGAGATTTAAATGTCCTTGCAGCCCATATAGTCATGATGCCTCTAGAACTAGCAGCATGCATTTTGTTCTCAATTCCTTTTACAAAAAGGCCGTTTTTTTGGGTAAACAAACAGGTATTATTCACTTAACAAACAGGCATTATTCACTACTATCTGTAGATACTTTGGTCATGCTGACTCCAGTGCCTATATTCTAGGGTTCACATTCTTGTGAACTCACAAAACCAAGTTGTAGAAGGTTGGCTATTCACCAGGGGAAATGCATGAGGGTGAGTGGAGAGGAGATACAGATAGCATCCTGTGGAGAATACTTACAGCAGGTACAGAGACATGAAGGACCAAGAATGGTGAAAATGTACATTTTACTTGTGATACTGAGCATAGTCCTATGAGGAAAAAAATATAAGGGACACAGTTGAACATGGTAAACAGGTTGATTACACTGTGTGGAGAATACATTCCGAGAAGCTGAGTAGCCTCACATAAATGTGAGGTGTCTACTGCAGTAGCAAAGATGATAAGTCCACAAAGCTCTTATAATGAAGAAAAGGAAGAGATGAGGGACCAGAGGTGTCATTAGCAGAAGGAGTAACAAAGCTGCTGTTCCTGCAGGAAGAAGAACACCTGAACTTCAGGATGTGTGGCTGCCCTGATGCCTCTCCATGACACAGGAAGAGGACACACAAGGACAGACCTGGTGGACAGGCACAGGAAGTACCTCAGACCTTTCAATGGAACCTTCTCTGGACTACTCAGGACTACTAGGATTCCGGAGGAAAAGCAACAATTCTGGGAACACGAAAGTGAAGAATTTAATATTTAAATTTTTATGTCTTAAATGTATTCTGTCAGTGCTTATGCTGAAAAGAAGCACTTATTTCTTCTTACCCTCACAACCGCACCCTACAGCCAGGACTATGTATGCTTTCACTCATTCAGAAACATTTATCAAGGGTCATGATGTGTCAAGCAGTATTCAGGGCCATGTGAAGCAGCAGAAAGGACTGGAAAAGCCATCGTTCCTGTCGGATTACTTTTCAGAGATGAAAATCCAAGGAGCAGAAACTCCCTCAAAGTCACATAAAGCAGCCAATAAGCGGCTGAGCTAGCATCTGAAGACAGCTCTAATTCAAAGGTGTAGCTCTTTACCATGCTGTCCTGGCATGGTCAGCATATTTAGTATTTCAGTAAGACAATAAGAGATTGTAAGAGCAGCTCACACTACAGAAGAGAAGACACGGGGACTACAGGTGGCCCTGTAAAAGGACATTCTTCTACATTAGCTCTGCTGAGATGAACATAAGAGGCTAAGGATGATTTGTTTCTCACATTTGCCAGTGGTGACAAATCTATAGCACACGTGCCACAGCAAGACACAAAGCCCTCTCTATCAGCTCGCAAACTGTCAAGTCAGCAGTCAGACATCAATAGCAGCTGTTTATTCTAAACTAAAACCTCAGTGTTCAGGTTACTTGCAGTACTGCAATAAATAAGTGGATTTTAGTTTGCAGCTTAGGCACTTGTCTCTAAAAGTTTTGCCATCACTGATCTACATGCACTATAATTAATATCTACATAATCACTTTTGAATCAAGATATTTTTAGATGAATGCTATTTTTCTAGTCACCTGTATTATAGTATGCTGATGAATTAAATAAGAATGAAATAAAAATATGTGGCATGTATTAGATTCCATAAGAACAGAATAAAAATGTGATATATATATATATATATTAGATGTTACAAGTCCAAAGAGTTTCATGAAGGTTGAGTACATGTCCAGATAAGCTAACAGATATTCTTGCAGACAGTCTGCCCAAAAAAAGAATGTAGTGTTTCCTGAGTGTTCCAAATAGCTTTCCTTTGAAATACGGTTAAGGTAGTGTAGTTCTATGTTAACAGTACAAAAGCAGCTGTTTATGAAGTATTCTGAGATAGGAACAGAAATGGCACTCCATGGCATGGTGAAAAACAAAATCCTACTTACAAAAAGTTATAAGATGGTAAAGTAAATTGAAATTAGTTGGAAATATAGCTTGTTTTTCTTACACAGGTAACAGTTAATCTAAGTGAATAGAAAATTCATTCCAGGATTTAAAAGAAACTTTGAAACCATAATTGACCTATGACTTTTATAATGGTTAAAGTCTTATCATTTTGAGGTTTATTTTTTAAACCTCAAAATGCTTTAAATATTTTAAATAAATGCTTTAAATCTTTTTTGTGTGGCTTCCCAGATTGATAAAATAATGTCTTCTCAAACCTACCTATCCATAAGGGTGTTTTTTGTAGCATTTTAAAAATCCAACTTTAGGGATTTTACATGCAGCTCTGAGGTCACATGTCCAGCTGTGGTTCATGCCAATGTGTCATGTTTTATTCCTCCTGCCTCCCACATTTCCCTTTTCACTGTATCAACTAACAGAGGAGAGTCAGGGTTGAATATGTTCAAACCACCATGACAGTCATACCCAAAATGACACACACAGGTCACTGTGTATTTGAGGTCCAAATTTCTTCCAGAAAAATGTTTACTCCTACACATAAAACATTCATGTATATATATGCTCATATATATGGATATATATACATATGCAAATATAAACAAGTTTCCCAATATTAATACATATTGAGGCAAAATGCATCATTTCAACCACTTATATAATAATCAGTGCTCCCTTTTTTCTCCTACAGTAAGTAGTATAATTTATAATTTATATTACCAATTTATAATTGGTAATTTATATTACCAATACCACAGACTTTCATATTTAGTCTAGAATATTACTTTGCCACCTGATTAGGTGGATTTCTATAGCTTAATGAAAGAGTAATTTCATAACCTTGCCCACAAATTTGGTTGTAGAAATGTAGTAGAAATGCCCTAAGAGAGTTTGACATTTACTAATATGTGGAGGTATATGAACCACAAACAATGGGGCAAAATGTGAATATATGTTAAATTATAGAGCATTTATTTTCTGCCACAGCACAGCTTGTTGACTATAAGACTATTAGCTTTACAAATTTTCCTATTGTTTGTTTTGTTAACATATTTTCAGTAGAGGAAAGAACTCAAATGAAAATAGAGAAAATAATGACGTTTTTATTTATTACTGTAGCAACCCAATCTGGCCTCAATATTAGGCATATCATTTCATCTCTGTGAGCCTAGCTTTCTCTACCATTATCATAGGTCATCTGGGAAGTAGTCCTTCACAGGAATTTCATGGAATTGATTCAGAGCCAAGCCCAGGAATAAGAGCGTTTACAGAAAAACCATCTTTTAAGTCTCAGTTGAATAGCTGAAGTTGGCCTAAACCTGCATATTTTGATGTTGATCTGGTTTCTACACTGTCTTTATAATGGACTTCATTGAAAAAGGAATCAGTTGTTATGGTGCACACTTGTTATAATAGCAGCACTCTAGGAGGCTGAGACGGGGGATCACAAATTCAGGCCCAGCCTGGGTAACTTAGTAAGACACTATCTCAAAATAAAAAAAAATAAGAAGGACTGGGGATATAACAGGTGTGAAGGCCCTTGTTCAATCCCCAGTACAACCAATCAATCAGAAAAAAAACAAAACAAACACACCAGTTCATAATACTCTGAATAAATTCGTAATATCTGCTGTACAGTTTGCAGCTCGTGGCAGAAAGGCCCTGGCTGCTCACTGGCTGGCCGCCGCACAAGCTTGTGTTCGCCACAAGCAGCCTCCAGGCCTGAGGTGATGACTCCCTCTGAGACATACAGTGAGCCTGCTTACTGCTTGTTGCACCAGAGGGAGGTGACACAAACGCAGGGTGCCCACCTCGGGCACTGTGTCCATCTCTGTGGGCGGGGAGGGCAAAGGGAACTGATGTAAACTGCAGAAGCCCATGCTCCCTGCTGCACTGTGAGGAGGAAGGCTGTTTTCCGCTGAGTTTGCTACCAGAAATTATGGAACAGTAACAATAACATTAGTGGTAAGTTGGGAAAAGTCAATTCGCAAGCCAGACAACATCCTATCAAGGACCTTTTACCAAGATTCCCCTGAATATTTAATACTTTTAAATATCAAAGATATTCTAATAAAAATAATTAAGTTCTGACAGTATAACTAGATGCATACCATCACTACAACCTAAGAATAAAGAAAAGTAAATTGTGAATTACAGGAAACTGACTATGTGATAAAGGTGGTACCATAAACCGAAGTAAAAAAGGTAAGTTACTTAGTAAATATTTTGAGTCAAACATTACACATTTTGAACATACATAAAAGCTCAGCAACACATTACCTGCCTGATTCTGAATTCTATTCTTTGTACCAAAAAAAAAAAAAAAAAAAAATTTAAATTAAATTAAATTAGACCTTTCTCCTTATCCCACCTCAAACCCCCAAAAAAGGATGTACAGGTAGGAATCCAATGTGAAAAATAAAAAATAGATCTACAGATGATTAGAACAAAAAAGTAAGTGTGAAAGGGCTTTTAACAAAATAAACAGTGATGAAGAAAAAGTAAAAGATTAGGTTGCATAAAAAATAAACCACGTACATGTATGAACAGTTTACAAAAATATAAGTAAGTAACAGATGAGGAAAAATCATTTCAAGACAGATCAAAAAATTTCTCTAAAATGTAGGACAAGCGTTGTCAACAATAATAACAATAAAAATAGCCACCAGTAAACATGGGCAATTTAAAAAGTAGCACTGTACATGATAAACTAATGATGCTAACATTACTCACATAATGCTGACAGTCAAAGTAAGCAGGGATGCAAAGATTTATCAGTAACAGAACAGAATTTTTGACTATGAAGGTGACAAATGCACAATTCTAGTAAATGTAAATACATGTACACTGTTGAAAGTACTAATAATTTTTAACAGTTATATAAAAGTTTTTATACAAAGTTTAACCCATTTGATTTAAACCTATACTCATTTTAAGGAATTTAGCAAACACAGAAATGCAATGTAGAACAAAAGTACTGATGCTTTGTCATAGCTTTTTAAATATAGTAACAGGAGCTAGAAGTGCTCCAATTGTCACTCTCCAAGAGGATAATGCACGAAGGACCGTGAGATACCGTGTGCCCATCTCCATCATAAGTACAATGCAGAAAGTCAGTAAATGTGCACTTTGGATGTCCAATGTATACACTTTAGCAAAAGAAGTAAACAAAAATGCATATAGTATGATGATATGTCACTCGAATTAAATCATTGAAAACATACAAAGGCCAGAAACATTTCAAAAACCTTAAGTCCTTTTACATGTTACTGTGTTTATATAAGTATAAAAGCAACAAATCACATGTTTTAATATACTACATCACTAACAGTACATGGAAAATTACAGGGGTTCATTTACTTTTATTTACCTTTAGATAATCTACAGACTGTAATAAGGAAAATACTAATTTTGTAATTCAAGGTACTGCAATAGTTTTAAAAGTAAAATGCATAGCCATCAAGAAAACAAAGGCAGAAACTACTGAATCAGATGATATATTCAACATCTAATATTGTGCATTTCTGAGACTTCTAGTAGCAACTTATCCAAAAGGTTAAATTTTTCACCCAAAGTCGCAGAGTCTATTAATAGACTAAACAGTTCTGCAAACAACAGAGGGATTATCTGGACCTGAAGGAGTAAGCAGCAATATGAGGTGTCCTTCCCTAAAGGTAGGCAGGACCACACAGGCAACATGGTGTGTCTGCTGGCCATTAACAAGCTGTAAGAACTTTGGTGAGAAGTCCAGGCAGTGGAAGAGATCTCTGCACAAGAGACCCTGAGACCTGTCTCCTCAGCACAACATACAAAAAGAACCAGTTATCTTGTGAAACATCAAGAAGGAGACTTAGAAGCAATAATTAGACTGTAATAAAAACACGAACATTCTTTTCTTAAACAGAGAAATAGATGGCAGTAAATTACCATGCACACATATACAACCACAAAGTTAAGTGATATTAAATCAGTATTAACAGCAATGTTTAAGGAAGGAAAGCCTTCTGCTACAGGAACTCGACATGAATGAATTCAAAAGGAATCAAAGGAAACCATACAGTCTTTATACAATTTAGAAATATTAATTACTATCCAAAAAGACAATAATCAGATTAGTGGGCTGAGGACAAAGCCCAGAATATGAAAATGAAATGGCTTGCATAGAAGATCTAGTGGGAGTCTGTCATCAGTAAGAAAAATATAGATTGCCAAATAAGAACATAAACCCAATGTATATTTCAACATACAGTCAACAAAATTATTCCTGAGCTACTTTATATTTTCCCACATGAAGGATTTGAAATCCAGAGAGTTTTACACTTAAAATACATCCTACCTGGAGCTAGCCATGGTGTTCACAAGTGCACATGGCCAGTGACTGTGGGCAATGGGAAAGCATGTGCAAAGTTGGCTGGGGTGAACTGGTATGTTCACTACTGAGAACCACATTCAATGTGTATTCCCACCATTCTGTATCTGGGAACACAACAGAAGACTATAGAATCATGGGTAGCAGCAAAGATGTAACTACCACCTCCAACAAGAGAACACAGATATTCCCATCATTTGCATGGTGTAGTCTTCATGTGTGCTGGTGCAAACACAGTATTTCCTGTGACTGAACAGGTATACATTATGCTCCAACTCTCTATACGTCGGCAGGGACATCTTTCTATCACTGAGTCACATAGGATCACTGCTTACTAGTACTGCCTCCTCAACAGACTCCTCTGGAAAGAAATCCTGCACAGCAAACCTGGCCTGGATGTTTTCAGCTTGGGGAGTCTGTCCTGCTCTGCTAAATCCAGCCTGCAGCACAGCTGTCTCATTCATGAAACCCAAGTGTTAGCTGGATTTTTTGTGCATATTTACAAAGTTCCTGGCATTTGAATCTTAGCAGTGACCAACTGACACAACCTATAGGTAACAGCACAGATCAAGCGACAGCTATTACCTAGTCCCCAACACTATCTAATACCATACAGTAAAGAGAGTGCTGACTTAGCCTGTGAAGTCCACCTCTGGAGCAAGACAGCTGCACCCTACATTATCATGCCTCTCCCCTCCAAAATGGGAAAAAAGTCAACCTCACAGAGCTTTGAGAAAAGCACCTGGTACAATACCTCTCCCGTATCACTAGTCAAACAAATGTTCAACTAAAAAAAAAAAAAAAAAGCAGCTTAATTGATACCAGTTTATCTTTTCAAACCT